ACACACACACACACACACACACACACACACACACACACACACACGTTTCATCATCGTCATCATCGTCATCGTCATCATCGTCGTCATCGTCGTCATCGTTGTCGCCGCAACGAGTGTTCCAGCACGCGCAGCCGTGCGCGGTGATGCTGCGCTAGCGACTGCGCATGCGCCGCTGTGCTACGGCACCTTCAGCAGAATTCCCGGAAAATATCCACGCTAGTTGTAAAGCTAGAGAGTTGCAACATGTTCTGCTTGCATCTATGGCAAATACGACATACGCATAAAATTATACGCGCTCCTATGACACTATTTGTCATAGGAAGATTCTTCCTATGACAAATTTTAGCGAGTCAACATCGTTCCGCTTTACAGCTGAAATTCACTGCTTCATAATAGCGCTCCTAAACTCCTATGATGCATGCGCACAACACATACAACAATATTTGTCATAGAAAGAATCTTCCTATGACAAATAGTGTCATAGGAGAGCGTATATGCGTATGTCGTATTTGTCATAGGAAGAATCTTCCTATGACAAATAGTGTCATAGGAGAGCGTATATGCGTATGTCGTATTTGGGAGATGCAAGCAGAACAGGCTGATAGTTGTCGGAGTTGTGTGTGTGTGTGGGGGGGGGGGGCGACAGACAGCATTTATAGCAGTGTGACGTTACCACCGCGAGTCTAAAAATGCGCGCATTCATTACCGAGAAGTAACAACGCAATACGCGTCGACAGACAAGGTCGTCAAGTTGTCAACATGTCTCATAGAAGCCCGGTCATGGCCAGCGTTTTTACGCATAGAATAGACGGATGCGTATGCATAAGCTTGTTTGTTAGAACTATAACGAGCTTGCGGGAATGATGGCGAATCGACGGTGTTTTTCCACGTTGGAAAACGCTGCTGTTGTATCATGTTACATGAAGGGTAATAACCGTCGCATGTCAGGTGTTAGTCTAACTGATTACGTCGATATAATTATGTGTGTGTTAACTGATATTATCATTTATTCATTAATAGCCTAGGTATTCTATATTACATCACACACTTTACCAAACGATATCAGTACTATCCAGAGTACATAATAGAGATGGAGATAGATATAGAGATAGAGATAGAGATAGAGATAGCGATAGAGATAGATATAGAGATAGAGATAGAGATAGAGATAGAGATAGAGATAGAGATAGATATAGAGATAGAGATAGAGATAGAGATAGAGATAGAGATAGAGATAGAGATAGATATAGATATAAAGATAGAGATAGAGATAGAGATAGAGATCGATAGATAGAGATCTCTATTATGTACTCTTGTTACTATATTGTAGTCAATCAATTCTCGATGATATGTATCCCACGTTGTTGTGTTGAATCGAGAGCCTATCATTAGTTTATCAACTTAGTCCGTTTGTCTTTCTGTCTGTTTGTTTATCTATATATCCAGTCATCCATCCATCCATCCATCCATCCATCCATCCATCCATTCATCCGTCCGTCCGTCCATCCATCCGTCCGTCCGTCCGTCCGTCCGTCCGTCCGTCCGTCCGTCCGTCCGTCCGTCCATCCATTCATCTATCCATCCATCCATCCATCCATCCATCCATCCATCCACTCACTCATCCACCCATCCATCCAACCAGCCATTCATCTAGCAATCGCGTGGTGGCGCCCACGCCCTCCACCCACGCGCGTTATCCCTGTCCCCGTGGTGCGCATGCGCGGTGACCTGTGACGAGACGCGGGGGGATATCGGCTGCTGGTGCGCTGAGGACCAGCAGCCGTCGTTATTGGTCGAGATTCTGGCATCGATCCGGGTCCGTATACCAGCGTGCTGCTGAATCATGAATGATCCGAAGCCGTGTTATATATACTCAGCGGCGGCACGCATGGATTTTACGCCCCTTCCCTGCCTGCCTGCCAGCGCTGCGGCGGCGGCGGTGGCGGCGGTGGCAGGCAGCAGTGGCTGCGGCGGCGATGGCGGCAGTGGATCTGATGGGGAAACGTGACGAGTGTGTGATTCCGAGCTTTTCCCGTAGCTGCTGTATTTCACATTGCCGTTAGGAATTAGTGACATATTGGGGGAGAGAGGACGCGAGGGGGGAGGGAGGAAGGGAGGGAGAGAGAGAGGAAGGGAGAGAGGGGGAGAGGGGATTTTACGGCCTATCGTAGAAGGTCACACAGTCATCGCGAAGACCAAGAAACAACTCCGGAACAAACCTGAACAGAAACAGCTCGGCATCACGCAAATTTCTACGCTCGCAAATAGGACTATTACACGCGGTTGTTTTCCCCAGTTAGCGTAATGCTATATACTATTACGGCAAGAAGTTTGCCATGCTGACGACGTCGGTAATCTATTGCCACCCACGCAGTGTCCGTGGCAGCGACGCCAGCGCCGTCTCTCGGTGAGACCGAGTGAATAGCGCTTCTGGGGCCGTTTCGCGGGTCGCACGCGTCAGGGGATATTATGTCGTCTGTGTATTGCCCGCACACGCTAGATGAGCAAATATATGTTGACAAATATTGTCGTTGCTGTTCCGAGTGTGGATTGTCGCCTCACAGTGGCCGATAGCAAACACGTATAGACAAATATTGTCATTGCTGTACCGGCAGCCGCATCAGCGGGACCTGGCATTTCATTAGCAGACGTGATGATAATTGTGTTGACGACCATTGCTTCTGATTCTCCTGTTGCTCTTGCTGTTGTTTTTTCACGGTGTTGTTATTATACTGCGTTTTCCTAATCCCTAAGCGTTGCAGTGTGTCACGTTAGAAGTATAATATAATTGACCGGGATGTTCTGTGACGCGACAGTTATTGTCACGGCTGACTCCGTGTGTCACCGAGACTCGAGAGAGACAATTATTTTTGCCAGTAGTCAGTCAGGCTTCTTGTCTACCGGGTTCAAGGTAACGCGACATTCCGTGTCGAGTAACAAATGCGGATGACACACTCGTGGACGTGCTCTGTCTCTCTCCCTCTCTCTCTCTCTCTCTCTCTCTCTCTCTCTCTCTCTCTC